ACTTATCATTTGTTTTGAACAACAGTTCTTTATCTCTACGGAGCTTTTTGAGATATGGAGAAGAGAAACGGTCAAAAGGAGTAAATAATGTTTCTTTAGGACAACATATTTCCAAACAGAATTTAAGATAATCTGTGGTGTTTGTGATTGTGTCATTTAATGTTTGTTGTGTAAATAGGTCCCAGTTAGTATCTATCAGCATGCATCTGAGTTTGCTTAGATTGTCTTGTGAGTAGCTAATATATACGCAGGGGAATCATTAATATTCATTATTTATTTCACACATTAGCATAATCATTGATTTCACGCATCTGCGTGATTATTGATTTAAATTACTGAATCCCCAAGGTCGTTAATATTTTTAAAAGGTGACATTGATTTTTCTAATTGTATAAATACGGAGTTGTTGTTTAACATTTTCGACTGTTGTTTGAGACAGTAAAAGCTCTCATATCAACGTCCAGTCTTCTCTTTTATTTGTCTTGCGTGCCCGGCGGTATTATTGTTGTTGTTGTCGACGTGCGATTAAGACAGATTAGCCAGCGCATTAATTAGATTCGCTCGTAGTCTACAAGGTCCTAATATTCACATACATAACAAATTTGGCGACGGGTTTGCTGAAGATGGACCCACTGCGTTTAGAGAAGCTAATGGAACAGCAGCTAAAATTGATGGAAATGCTTGCTGGTCTACAGATATCACGCTCTGCCGATTCATCTACAGCCAACGACAGCATTGGTAGCAGCATCTCAGAATTTGTTTATGATCCAGATGCGAACGTCACTTTTGACACTTGGTTTCGCAGATATGAAGACCTATTTCGAGTAGACTTTGCGGATAAAGACGATGCCTGGAAAGTACGGCTTCTACTTCATAAATTGGGAGCAGATGAGCTAGATAAATACTGCAACTTAATTCTGCCACAGAAGCCCAGTGAAAGATCATTCGATGAAACTGTCCATACCCTTCGTCATCAGTTTGGTGATCAGAGATCGTTATTCAACATTCGATATCATTGCATGAAACTAGTTTTGAACGAAAATGATGATATCCATACTCAGTTGGGTATAGTCAATCGCACGTGTGAACGTTTTAAATTAAAATCACTCTCAGAAGACCAGTTCAAGGTATTGATTTTCATCTGTGGTTTGCAGTCTCCCAAATTTGCTGATATACGCACACGTCTATTAAATCGTCTGGAACAAGATCCACGAATGACTTTGAAAGACGTTGGTGAAGAATATCAGCGTTTAATCAACATTCATAACGATACCGCCTTGGTGCAGTCTGGCAGCCAAAATGCAGCAGAAGTGCATGCGGTGCATCCAGTACCGTCGACATCAACCGCACCGCGTCATCCTCAGCATAAACCACCATCAGCCTGCTGGCACTGTGGCTCCTGGCATTTTGCAAACTTGTGCCCATTCAAACAGCATAAATGCCGTCGATGCCATACTGTTGGTCACAAAGATGGCTACTGCAAACGCAACAACCGACCCAGATCTCGTAGTCGACCCAAACGGCGCAACAAGCCTAAGTCTTTGGGTGTTACTGCCACATATCATATTAGTACGCCAGCACCTCGCAAATATATCAATCTGACGATTAATACACGGCCGGCACGCCTACAAATCGACACAGCATCCGATATTACAATAATATCAAAGAAATTATGGCAGAAGTTGGGATGCCCTACCATAGAGAAGACAAATCAAATAGCAATTAGTGCATGTGACGGAAGACTTCGATTGAATGGAGAAATTAAATGCAGCGTTGGGTTTCGCGATAGTCATTTCGTCGGCACATGCTACATCAACAACTCAAACCTTGACCTCTTGGGTTTAGACTGGTTCGAGAAGCTGCACCTGTCAGAGATTCCGTTAAGCAGTGTATGCAATGAGGTCGAAAGTATTGAACCCTCAACAAGAAAGCCAGAAATCAGAGACAGATATATTAAACCTAAGCCCATTAGAAAGTATGACGTGATTAATGAAAAACCAACTTCGAATCGTTACAGTGAGTATAGCTGCGCCAAAAGTGCTTCGATGTCTGGTAGCAACAAAGTCGCAACTGTTAGCTCCAGTAAGAGAGGCTCTGCTCAAAAACTGAAAGTGATGTCTGTCATGGCAGCCAAAGATCCGCCACCAAGAGCATGGCCCACGTCAAAACCATGGTCCCGCCTACATGTGGATTTTGCTGGGCCGATAGAAGGTATATACTACTTGGTTCTCGTGGACTCTTACTCAAAGTGGCCGGAGTTAGTACAAGTGACACCACCGTCTAGCAGCAGAACAGTATCAGTCCTCGAAAAGATCTTCGCATGTCACGGTATACCAGAAATCATCGTATCTGACAATGGCAGTCAGTTCACCTCACAAGCGTTCCAGGAATTTTGCAAGAGAAACGGTATACAACACGTGCGGACGCCACCTTATCACCCTCAATCCAACGGTCAGGCAGAAAGATTTGTCGACACTTTCAAACGAGCGTTGTTGAAAGCAGGGAAAGGGGCGAAACCGGAAGTAATACAAAACTTTCTTTTTGTATACCGAACTACACCACTGGCAGAACAGAAGAAAAGCCCTGCAGAACTTCTAATGGGTCGAATGCTACGAACTCATCACCACTCCATGTTACCATCTTCGTCACATCAACGAAGAAATAGTCTGACGTATTACCGCAAGGGTGATGCCGTCTATGTGCGCGATTATCGACCGAGGAACAGAAAATGGGCCGAAGGCTTGATAGAATGTCGACATGGAACTGTAATGTACAAGGTTAAAGTTGGGGATGAATGGTGGATTAGACATAAAAATCAGATACGACGTCGATATACTACATTCCAAGAACCTAAATTGCCACTGGAATTACCACTGGAAACTTTCAAAATACCACCAGTCAAACCAGAAGCAAAACAAGAGATGCTACCCAGCCGACGATCCCAGCGCAAACGAACACAAACAGTTCCTTTCCAAATCGACCCCAAGGAAAAAAGATACTAAACTGATTGCAAGATTCCTTTTAAAAGGGGGAGGTAATATATACGCAGGGGAATCATTAATATTCATTATTTATTTCACACATTAGCATAATCATTGATTTCACGCATCTGCGTGATTATTGATTTAAATTACTGAATCCCCAAGGTCGTTAATATTTTTAAAAGGTGACATTGATTTTTCTAATTGTATAAATACGGAGTTGTTGTTTAACATTTTCGACTGTTGTTTGAGACAGTAAAAGCTCTCATATCAACGTCCAGTCTTCTCTTTTATTTGTCTTGCGTGCCCGGCGGTATTATTGTTGTTGTTGTCGACGTGCGATTAAGACAGATTAGCCAGCGCATTAGTTAGATTCGCTCGTAGTCTACAAGGTCCTAATATTCACATACATAACAGTAGCATCTCCGTTGAAATTTACTGTAGAGGTGAGAGAAGACACGTTTGTGTGATTTGGAATATATTTTAGGCAGCACACGTATGATGCAGTGGTCAGAGTTCAATACAGGAGCACGTTTGCGAGCTTCATATATACCAACATCATTGATGAATACTAGATCTAGTGTTTTTTCGAGACGGGTAGCAAAGTTAACAATATTATCATGGCCAAGTGATATAAGGAAGGAGTGATCACAAGAGTTAAAATCGCCAGTCACTATTGATAAAGAGTTCTCGAAGCAAACTGCAGCAAAAGCGGTGAATTCATCTGCGAACATAGATAAATCCGATATGGTACAGCCAGGAGAGACATAAACATTAGAAATATAAATGAATTTGTATTTTGACAAGTGTCTCGGGCGACATCTGACAGTGATGCAATCAATGTAGTCATTCGAGAATTTGAAACAAACGTTGTTAGAAATAGACCATTTTGAATGAATAAATGTAGCTACTCCTCCGCCGCATTTTTTCTTGGAACAAACACGGTCTTGTCGGAATACATTAAAATCATTTAAAGATACTATATTGTCATCATATGAGTCATGAAGCCAGGTTTCTTGTAGAGTTACAATACCAGTATTATGATAAGTTTCGGATAACAACAGGGACTGAAAATCCAGAATTTTGTTAGGCAGTGACCGACAGTTCGTACTAACGATAACCGGAACAGTAGTTTGGTGTATGGGTGTAGATTTTAAAGCACGTTGCCAACCACCATGGTGCTTTTTCTTGAGTTTATTGCAAATATGAAAGTTTTTTGGTTTTAAGCATTTTATATAATCCCGAGAGTGAATGATACGATTAGAATGCATAATTTCAAATGTAAACACCAACAAAATATGAGTAAGTAGATGCAAAATGTACATGGAATATGGTAGCCCAAAATGTTCAAACAGGCCGCCAACGTCAAGGACTAGAAAACTGTATCCAGACAGCCAGTTCTTGTCTTTAAGGGGGCTCACACATTCTACAAAGGGTTCAAAGGAAGGCAACACGTATGGTCCACGGCATGACTAACTTATCATACGAGGAAAGACTAGACAGTTTAAATCTCTTCTCCTTGTCATATCCTAGACAGAGAGGAGATTTAATCACAATGTTAAAAATTTTAAATAATGACTACGGACCTGACCTGTTCTCTCTTTTCCTTCCCACCAGGTCGGAACACCTTAGAGGACAAAGCAGGAGAGTTCAAATGCCAAGAAGAAATCATATTGCTGTTGAGTACTGGTTCTCACACCGAGTCATAAACTCTTGGAACTGACTCCCAGAAGAAGTGGTGTCTGCCACCTAAGCTGATTCGTCCAAGCACAGAAATTTACTAGAAAAGGATTGAGATAGGCAACAAGCTTTCTATCCTCAACCAATAAATCTGAATTAAGCACATATTATTCATGTATATTCTTTGCCTGGTTTCACCAGCGTGCTCACTGAGCGTTCCAAGGTCATTGATGTGGTCTCATTTCTTTGGTACTTACTAGTGCTAAAGTTTTACTCGGGTCATCGTATGCTGCTTAGATGCATGTTGTGAATCAGTTGTTTAAATTACTAAAAGCTGAACTTAGAATTTGAGCCAGTTGCCTTGACCCTAACATTCCGCGGAATGTGATTTTCACCTAGGGCTTTGCATGCGTAACAGCTGGTGCATCCTAATAGACGATGTTGCAAAATGGTTTGTCTCAAATTTTGTCCATGCTTACTGATTTTTATTCGGTACTTACTGTACATCAACCTATACCTCACAATCAAGATGCGAGCACAAAGAAATCAAATTGGTTTATACTTGCTCGTAAAAAAGATATTGGATATTGAAAATGTTTGATATTCTTGCAATATTTCTCTAATTGGTTAACCAATACAATTGTATTCTCTGCGCTGGCTGACTCAGCTAGCATTTTCTTTGGGCGCATTGCAAATTGTGGGGCAGTGATCTGCAATTTGCTTCAGAGATTCTGGGGTGCACCCAAAGTCTGCCTCAAACATTCTGCAACGCGCCTGAAGCCAAGGCTAGCTGGGGATTTGATTACAAAGCTTTCATTGCTTCTCTGGTCATATTCGGTGCAAGCTTCATTATAGAGTGAACTCGTTTCAATTCACCATGAACGATAAGATTGTATCTTACGACGCCTGTTGTGATTAGTTGTCAACTAACATATTTATTGATCATTTTATTGACTTGGAATTCGATCTTCGTCGTGATTTTTTTTTATTAGTCGGTAAACCTGACCTGTGTTTGTTAGCAGATAACTCATCAGAATACCTGGCTCCTAGAAGTTATCTCACATTTCTGGTGTTGGGGGTTATTTTATTTTATTATTTTGATTACAGCTTGATTCCATACCGTATTTTTTGGTACAGGTATGGAATTTTCAGCATGTGATATCGGTGGCCCAAATTTTGCAGGCCGACCATAGATATCAGGTGTGCGTCAGCAGGGGATCGGACCCCGGACCATGTGCATGGTCGGCGGGAGTCCTAACCGCTGTGCCACCAACGCACGGGGAACATCCATAGGGTATTCAGGTAATTCACTTCATATTAAAGCTTGCGCTGAAAATATTGCCAAAATAGACAATTGAAGTTTCGCAGTTAAATCAACTAGTCCAGAAAACAAAACCAAGTCAAAATCATCCACCCAAGCTACAGATCCCTGTTGCTTCGAAATCCTTACAATATATTATATCGACTGTTTTTCCGGGATACGCAACACATACCCGAGGAACCGTAGTAACTAGGCGCTCGTTTTTTTACTACTGCTTTAACTTTATATATAGGAGACGACCCAGTCGGAGAATGCATATGGATAAAATGGGGAAGGCGGGAAATTTCGATCGGTTGAGACGTGGGGTAAAGGGGGGTAGAATGCAATTTAAATACCTACATTTCCTATTTTACTCACGTCTTTGGCTTAGAATCCCACTCAACCCAGTTTTCAGTGTAATGCGCCCCGCGTTTTTACCCACCCCAGCAATGTTTACGAAAAATTCCCAGACTAGGGATAGTAATATGAATCGGGATTTATATATGTACTAGTGTACATATAAGGCAATATTACTGGTTTTGTAATATTTAACTTTTGAACACTAACGTAGTTTAATTGTGTGCATAACGATTGTCCCCTAATATGCATTCACCAAATCGGAGTCACAACCAACCTAGTAGTATGAATCTGCTTCTACATGAAACCACCTAATTCAGACTAACAGTTTTGTTGCTCTTCCAGTCTGACAGTAACATTTGGTGTAGCTGAGCCTTCGATTAATTGTCTATCACATAATTCCAAACAATGTGTTGATAAAGCTGCAACTGCGCATTTTCATCGAGCATAGAATGACAGTTGAACCTGTCTCAACTTCATCGCATTTGAAAAGGTTTTCAACAGCGTTGATCGCAAAGTAATTTGAAAACTTCTGCAACACCATAGTGTGCTCTAAATCCTTATCAACCTCATTCAACATTTATATTATAAAATGGTGCATGTTGGATGATCTACAACAGGAAACTCAGAAGCCTTTGAAGTGAAGATCGGAGTAAACAAATGCTGCCTAATTCCTAATTGTGGTGGACTGGATTATGCGTCAACTGTGCACAGTGAGTGGGCAGCCTGGAATACATTGGACTGATAAGAAGACTGTAGCAGATCTGGATGATTTATGTTTAATGTCACACAGACTCAGAGAATTGCAGGTGGAAACCAACAAACTGGCAGAAGAAGCAGGCAACGAAGATAGGACCTCAGGTGAACATAGAGAAAACAAATGTGATGAAGATAACCAACCAACCAACAACCACCACCAATCAATATCCACAGAAGAAATTTGAAAGAGGTCACTTTCTTCACTTATTTGGGTAGCATCATTTCAATCTACAGGCGGGACAGATGAGAATTTCAAAACCAGAATCGGAGAGGCAAGACAGACCTTCAACGCTTAGCATAAATGACAGAATTCACATTTCCACCACCAATGTCAAGCCACCCAGTTCTTTTATATGGGTCAGAAAATTGAGGCGTCACCAAAAGCCTTTTAGACAGATCGCATAATTTTACCGATGGCTGCTTTCGCTCCATGTCGCAAGTCAGGTGGCCAGAAAGACTAAGCAACAAGAAAATTTGGTACAAACCATCAAGAACCTATCGCTCAGCAAATACGTCGGAGCAAATGGAGGAGACTGTCTAATGACATCGCTCACTAGACCCTCGAGTGGAACTAGAATGGGTAACGACGAGTGGGGCGTCCGAGCGTGACGTGGAGATGAGAACTGACGGGCCATCTAAGGAGGACCACACAATAGGACAAAGTGAAAATATGCTGTTGAAGCCTTACATTCCACTCAGAACCCAAAGGAACAATAATAATGCACATATAATCCCAGTGTTCTCGTGTTTTGCCTGTCTGTGAGTGACTATTGTTGCATATCTGCAATATAAAACAAGTTGACTCACATTCTGTAGGTTTTTCATATCCTAAAAACCGATCAACACTAAGTCTGATTGATAAAATTAAATCTAAGCTCTGAAATATCTATTCTGAAACTCAATTAAGATTGGGAGGATCACATAAGCCATATTGCCTCCGTCATTTATTTTTAGCTGCCACATGATGACCCTCTGCGGTTTTAGTACAGAAATTATTAGAAAAGTGTAAGAACTAGCTGTGTATTTATTCCAGAAATTCAGCAATATTTTGTTTCAAATGTACTAAGTTGTCGGTAAGAATGACAACGGTAGTCGAGTTTAAAAAAGTTTGATGTACCTATTACTTTCGTTTTCGTAGATTTTAACTCCACACCACTGGAATGCTTGGAGCCTGAGGTAAGTTTTATCTTTGGAGTGTAGTTATGCACTATTAGATCTTAGAAACTTTTTGTTTCGCTGGACTTGCGTACTTTATAACGGATCTCCACAATGTTAAAGAAGACGACACTCCGGAACCAAGTAAGCTCGTCTACTTGTATTTACTTCGTAGTCGATATAATCCCATCTACCTCAGATTATCTAGTGAATGACTTCAAAAATCTTCTACCTGAATTCGACAATCTTTATACATCTGTTCATAAAAGTAAGTACAATTTTGTAATGTAATATTTATAAGATCTTAAAAAAATACAGGAGATTGACATGAAGCTGAATTCAGTCGACATTGATTCACGTGACTTTGAAAATCTAAAATCTTTCGTGCATTTGAACTATCTTTCTGATGACATTGAAATAGACAGTGTAAGTTCATCATGCAAATAAGTAATTAAACTTGATAAATTACTTCATTGGTTATATTACAGCTTTTAACTCTAGTGACTGCGACTAAACCAATAGTTATGGAAAATTTCCACTAGTACATGTAAGAAATTAAAACAAGTGATCCAACGAAGAGACATTTCAAAGAATTCATTACCATGTGTCATAATCGTATATATGAGCAATTAAAAAGAACTGCATCATAAGGCGGTGCTAAGGTATACGTAACACATCGTAGCCACCTCAGTCGTTGTAGTCTCACAAGCTAGATTTACCTCCCCTCCTTCCTCGACAGGAAATGTTAGCCGAATAGGATTGAGTTGGAAAAGGGTTGGATAGTCAGACCAAACTGTGATGCTAACGCGTCAAGTCTCTGACTGTTAGTTTGAGCCATGTAAGGATGTGTAGACCGCGTGGCTCTGGTTTTCAAGATGTTCGAAATCTTTCATGGTTCGACACTGTTAGTAATACGACTAATAGCAATGTCTGTGGTGGAGATGTGACCATTACTTTCGATATTCCATTGAATCCTCTTTGTTCGGGATGTAGCTATTCTCTACCCGTAAATTTCCTGCATTTCTTTTTCCTTAGTATGTGATCGTGAAAGGTGACATCTTAAAATACTGATATCTTGTTCGATGTTCTACGCTACACACATTTGTTAAACATGATTCAGGTTGTCAGATGCGAAACAAACCTTTTCATCAAAAACTGACCAGTTAGGACTAATCAGATTTCCTGAGTCACTACGTAGTGGTCAGTGTCATTTGTCCTTAGCGCTGACTAAGTCCTATCAGTCAAGTTTACAATGTGGGGTCACCAACCCACCTAACTTGTCATATAGGACATTAAGCTATATGGGGATCAGTTCTTCCAAAGTTGGTGATACGCCTCACTGCCAATAAGCGCGAGACCTAGGCCTGAGAATTCCTACCAACTGTTTTCAACTACCTAAGATCCATTCAGAATGCATATCCAGCTATTTCATTTTATTTTTAAACTATAAGAGAATTCAGATTAGTCCCGAAATATCATCTTACATTTGATCGGGGCGAGTTACATGCCAAACTTACTTGGTTTTACCTCAAAGTGTATAAAACATTGCATTGTCGTGTTCACCTAAAAGGTGATATTATCTTCCTACAGTAGATCAATCAGAATTTCCTGGGAAATCTAAGTGAATAGGAGTTATATCCATAAGTATTTCTATAATGGAATGAAGACCTGTGATCTCAAACGCACACCTATTCAAGCGACAATTGTCTGAGGCTGCATTAATTCTAGTAGGGTGCCGTGTTACCAGATTATTTCTTCGCACCCTATTGACAATCATGAGTGACCGCATCACCTCTCAGTCGATGGAGATCAGCATAAATGCCTACAGGAATTTCCACATAATACTAAATCATAATAAGTAAAATAAATTTGTTGTTGGCACAGTAATTATCTCAGATTAAAATGCTCCTTTAACACTGAGTAACATTACTTTTTGTTGTGTAGAAACATTTTAATTCTCATCGACATCATTGAATGATGCAAAAAACTAGAGTGCCATGATTTTTAAATAATTATTACTTTCTAGGAACTTTAATTAAGATCACATACAACTTGTAAGTAAGTGAAGCAGCATACTATTTGAACTAATTTTGACACTTATTTTAAAAATATCTATACACCTTTACTTTTATCAACAAGTCTGATATCTTTTTGTGTACAGGTTAGAGGACAGATGGATCTAATGTTAACCCAAAAAGAATATGAGCTTAATTCTATTACTTCTGCTGTTGAAGAAGATGCAATTTTACAGAAGGAGCTTGTTGGGCAAATAGATACACTCAAGTCACTACTCGTATCAGGGCAGGCTAGTCTTGAGGAAAAACAAAACAAGTAAGAACATATTCATTAGTAAGAGAAATTTCATATGTTAGGTTGCCGTACGACGTGATAGTATAACTTCAGAGGTGTTTTTTATGATAGTGATAAATTATTGATTAGGACATTAGGTATTGTATAGGAATCAGAGGTGACCCGGCGTTACCAGTAAAAAATAATTTATTGTTCCAGTTTGCGAGGGAGACAAATTTCCCTGTGATAATCATAAAGGGATTAGTTTGTGTAATGTGATGTTCCATAATCCCCTGTGGAATAGGTGGCTCTCGGGAGAAACAAATGTGTGAAAACCAGACAGGTTACAAGCCAGGACAACAATGTATTGATTATACCTTTACTCTTCAAAAAATTCTGGAACACAGACATACTTACAGCTGTCTGACACCTACCATATTTCTTGACTTGAAGGCGTGGGATTTGACTCTCAATCATGGCAATGCCTGACCATGAAGTGGGTATCGACAAAGCTTACTTCACTAATCAAGGCACTACGCTAACCTATGCAGCCGTTTAAGAGCGCATGGAGAGTTAGTACCTGAATTGGCGACAATAGCGGGTGTCCGTAAGAAATTCCCAGTGCCTTCTAACGTGTTGAGATAAAAACGAGTAGCGTTTCATTGTTGGTATTATCGTCTTGCAATATTTAAAACACTTAATATACTATTCTACTGCTTATCTTAACAGGCATCATCAAAGGGAGTACACGGAAAGTTTGGGAATATTAAATCTGTGCTCACCGTATATCACACTGCGGTTTAATCTACTGGTAGTTTCACCTGTAGAGGATGAAACCTCGACGTCTCTTGTTCGCGGACTTCTACAAGAAGGAATATTTGGCAGTTTATCATTGCATGATGTCAGGGTATGTTTACTTTTTCAGCTAGACATGTTAAATTGTTCACTCATCATATTCAAGAAGACTTATGTGTTGTTACAACAAGGTTTTGAGGGAATGTTTCATTTCATGTGTATTTCAAGTCCAAGTTTTACTTCCAGGGAGATTAAAGATAAGTTCCACCTATAACTTGGATTATCTACATTCAAATGTCACCTAGTTGGCTCCATCTTAAAATCTAATGATATCCTACGGGTATATTCACTTGTTTTCTTTGAGAAATAATGGCGTACGTTGCACAGAAAATAGTCTATTATCATAGAAAAGATTATTTTTGATGTGATTTTATGCAATTATTTTGTGAATAACAAATCTGAACAGTCCAGTTACATATTCTACATGGATTCCTTTTCTAGGGTTAAAAGCCCATAACAACACGAATAGTCTTAGAATTATGATACCGATTTGCATAAAGAACTCTGTTGTTGTTGTTGTTGTTCTTGTACTCTGGGGGTCGGAGGTCAAATTATCTTTTCAAAAACATTGAAAAGAAAGACGTCAGAGAAGCCACTACTTCACTCACAACCTACAAAACACTCATTTTTTAAAATGCAGTTCAAAGCCATTGAGAGATTTCAGAAATATCACCTACTTATGAATTATCAAAACGCTTAGCTCTAATAGAAATTGTTCAAAATCTAGGCCAACTAATTCATATGAAATGAACAGAAAACTAAATGACATTCAATTAGAGAATGATGAAAAAAACCGTTAGTTTTGATATGACTAATCTGTCTTTATACTAATATACCAATCAATATGGCCTTAGAAGCGGTTAAAAGGGAACTAAGTACTGATCCTGAACTTATTCATAGGACAAAGCCAACCACTGAGGAAATTATTTTAGGGATTTAATTATACCTCACACCTACCAGCTTTAAATTCCAGGACAAAGTATATAGAAAAACAGGTGTAGTAATGGGATCACCAATATCCCCTATCGTAGCATATATATTTATGGATAGCTGGGAAAATATGGCACTTAATACGTTTAATCCTACTCCAACAATATTCTGGAGATGCGTGGATGACACTTTCACAGTGTTAAAAACAGATACATAAACTCACTAGTAAAGGAAATAAAATTCACATTTGAATCGGAAAATGAACAAGGAGAATTAGCGATGTTAGATTGTAAAACAAAACGAACAGGGCAAACTGCACACTAGCGGTTATAAAGAGCCAACACATTCTGCTAATATATATTTAGACTTTAATTCATCTCATTTGCTATCGATCTCTAAAGGCTAGCTTAGTTACGTGTCTAACTAGTCGAGCAGTAGCACTAATTAGTACAAGAAAAGACCTAAATGATGAAATGAAACAGATAGAAGAGGCGTTGGTGTTAAATAACTATCCTATAAAATTCATTCGGAAGTTTAGAAAAGGTCAAAAGCAAAATAAAAATAATGGTGAAATTAATGATGATAACGTAAGACAGAATATAAGGCATCTGCAGTTTTACCATATAAGGAGGAGACATCTGAGACGCTATGTAGAATTCTCAACAAAGCAGGAATAAGGGTGGCATTCAAGCCTACAAACTCACTCAGGTAAGACAAGCTCTGTAGGCTAAAGGATCCGGCTGACCCAATTAGACAAAATAACATAATTTACAAAATACCTTGCAATGATTGTGATGCCAACCACATAGGTCACACTAGTAGATCGGGAGTAGTCAGACTGTCAGAACATAAGAATTTAACTAATGTTAGAATAATTGACCCCACGAAGATAAGTAATTTAGGAAAAAGCTCAGTAACTGCACTGAATGCGTTAACACACAATAGGGTGGGACAGAGTTGAATTCATAATATGGAATACAGGTAGGTGGAGCGCGAGGTCGTATACTGTATCTTTGTTCATAGAATCTACACCCAACACATGCTATAGGAATGACTCATCGCCGATACCAGAGACACAGAAAATACTACAACCAATCAAAATAAAGAGATGAAAAATAATGGAATGATATAAACAAAGTTAGAGATTTGTGTGAGTTTTGCCTTGATATGATAACTATGAGCAGCAATAAATTGTGCTCGAAACGTGGCCATCAGTAAATATTAATGTATAACACTGTGAGACTGTCACAGTAAATTTTATCCACAATGGGACAGTTCAAAGTTATCCAAAGTGTAGTGCTGACTACCTTGCAACCTGATAAGATCTCTTAGCAATTGAAAAACTTGTTTTCTGTCTTACCAATATTTATTCAAACTGCACCGACTAATGTCACGTCTTTATTTACTTCAATTTTTTTTCACAAATAGCGGCATACTTTTAAAGAAATTCCGTTTTACCCCTTTCCGGTATGTATTGTCAAGATAGTCTGAGAGGAGCACTAATCAAGGCACTCTACTCAAACTCACGTAGCTGTGTAAGGGCTTATGGGGAATTGTCATCTGAATTGATAACAACCAGTGGTATCCGTCAAGGATGTCCACTTTCCCCTTTTCTGTTTAACTTCATCATAGATATGCTAATGGAAGTATCCTTAACCGAACGTAACGACTTAGGAATCGACTTGTTACCAGGGAATAGTCTTATAGACTTAGAATACGCAGACGACATAGTCCTGTTAGGGGAGGACGCTGACAAAATGCAGAGTCTTCTGAACACCTTGAGCAGCAATCTTCGTATGTTTGGCATGCGATTCGCCCCTGTGAAATGTAAGATGCTGCTACAGGACTGGACTACGTTAACTCCAAGCTTAGTGATAGAGTGAAGTGATAGAACATGTTGACCACTTCACCTATTTAGGAAGTTGTATCAGCACCAACGGATTGATTGGTGACGAAATCACAGCATGGACCCAGAAAGCTAGGGCTGCTTTCGCTAACTTACACCGTCTCTGGCGTAGGCGTGACATCCGACTGTCAACCAAGGGACGTGTATACTGCTCAGCAGTTCGCTCCGTCCTTTTCTATGGCGGTGAGACGTGGCCATTGAGAGCGGAAGACATGAAGAGATTGTCTGTTTTTGACCACAGATGTTTACGATCTCTTTCTCGCGTTAGGTGGTATAATAAGGTAAGTAATGTTGACGTTAGGCGTAGAGTGTTGGGCAAAGAGGGAAAATCACTCGAAGAGGCTATAAAGTTACATAGATTGAGATGGTTAGGCCACGTGCTGCGCATGCCTAACCATCGTCTCCCCCGACGGGCATTACTAGCTGATATAGGTGCAGGTTGGAAAAGAGTAAGTGGTGGCCAAACAAAAACATGGCATCAGTCCATGAAATCCTTGACAGTTAAACTCAGTCAGGTAGGGAGATGCAGACTTCCGGGTTGGGGCCCTCGGGACTCTAAGAATCAATGGCTGGAGACAATAGGTGACATGGCTCAAAATCGTTGTCAATGGCGCAGATGTATTCAGTCTCTTTAACCTTCATACTCCTTTCTACCATTACTCATTCTGTTTCACTCTTATACTTGTCAAAACTCTATTGATTCTCTTCACTCATTTTCTTGTCTACCTTTGTGTGCTATTTGGAACGTGGCAACTCGAACTGCTGCACTTCGGTGCCAAGTTCTATGTTGAATCCAGACAGACAGTCCGAGAGGAAAGACATTTCTGTTGTCTGAGTTCATTATCACTGTCAATCTGAGTAACTTAGTAGATTTCATCAAGAACCAACATTCATAATCTAAACGTTAACGAAGTTATTGGTTGTATTCGTGAAATGCTCATCAAGTGGACATCCTAAGAGTTTCTATGTTTGTTTCTTTGAAAACACTTTTCTGTTCAATCAATATATTATAATTGAAACCAACCTTTAAATAGCAACACCAACTTCATCTCCTCATCGGTTTTGATCTGATAAATAAATCGTATAACTTACAGATTGGATGAGAGAATGACCACAAGTGGATGACTACGTAATGACATAAAATACCTTCTTAACGCAGTGTGCAGGGTTGTGCAACAGTCGATGTGTCTCTTATGAGTAGATGCTAGACCGACCGCCCGTAGGTCTCATATTCATACGTAACTTCCTACGTTAACTGTATGTGACAGTAAGTCACTAATGCAAGGGCAGAATTTGTACACTGTGGTAGAATGTAATTCCATATTGAATATCACAGTGATGCAGTACTAGTAAACTGAACGGCGTTTCGAGCACAAATTATTGCTCATAATCCTATCAATTGATATGATATTTGAAATAAACTCATTTAATATGGGATTAGATAAGTCATGTCCACGCGTGAACTGTTTACCATTAACCTGTGTCCTATTTTGACCTAAATAAATAGGACGTATTATTGTATTAGATTCTAAACACTATTCAAAGGTTACGGTTAAGATAGATCAAGTCCAGTGCGCTCTAATGTTAAGACATTCGCCGAGGTTGTTTCATGATTAAGAAATGCTAAATAACCACTCTATCCAAAATGTATGATTAAATTCTCTCACCTACCACGTAAGTTCGCTAGATTCACCGTTTGCCTATCAACTCCACAGTATTGACTGTAGTTCGCTAAATGGGATTCCCGGACAACATGTCCCCAGTTGTTACAGGTTCGTTGAAGTTATGTTGATCCAATTATGCATGAAAATCACTGGATGTCTGTCGCTACTCCCTTTCACTACATCCCTGTTAAACGCATCATGCGCACGTCACCACAAAATTCACGTTAAAAGTAAACTAAACACATACGTGCGCTGAGTCCCCACTTTGAGAGTTAGCAGGCATATATCACAGAGCTATTAAGTCAAAGTAAGATGAAGTTAATCGGTGTATTGGATTTTTCGAATGAATAGGAACATGTGAACAAAGATGCATCCGCATTAATACCATTGGTTTCTTTCCATCCGACTTAGAATCTGGCTGTGAAAAATGTAGTTGTAATGAGACGATAGCTCAGCTCATCGGCGAGGTGAGAAAAGTCTGCCTGGTGAAGGGACTATTTTTTATTTGTGTGACCGCGATTTGATAAACGGGTCTCTTGGTAATGAATTCGTTGACACTAAGTTTTGCTTAGGGGCTTTTGGAATCAGATGCTTTTTAATGATATATCATCTCCTATGTAACTGTTTGGAATAAGGCTGTCATTGCTATTACTAATACCTGTATAGTTCTACAGACGGGTAGTAATAATCAAACTTGTTGGCACATGAATTTTTTCACATTGTAATCTAACCGTGACACTTAGTTGTGAACTGCAAATGAACAAACTAGAACTCAATTAATTTCTTTTATATTAATTTATATCGACCAGTTTTTTTAACATACTTCAGCTGTTTTGTTTCACTTTAAGGTTATGGGCTATCATGAAAGTCTCGTGAAGCTATCTCGAATTTTTGCGTCAGCCTTGGTCCCTGGTGCCATTGTAGCCTGCTCTCAACTTCAATCGTGTGTAGATATGACGTTGACTGAAGATATACGCCGACTGTGCTCACTTTACGCTCTGGACTGGGATCCAAGTTCACGTTGTTTTCACTTTTTAACAGATCATGAAGGTACAGTAAAAGCTACTGTACATATAGCTCCAAATGGTTCTGTCAACCTCGTGACAATCACAAAACTTTCGAATTCGGATCAATATCAGTCATGCAACTTTATCCCTCCGATTTCGTGGTCTTTGGATGAATGGATGATGGAAATCAATGACTTCTGTCATTCGGATGATTTCTAACAAGTTTCGCGGGAATTTTATTCACATTTATTTTTGTATACATTTTACAGACAATTTTTTCATAGTTCAACGTTAAATCACTTTTAAACCTTAAAGCACTAATAAGTGTGGTTTTCTATCCCAATTAAATGACTTTTTTATTATCATCAGATGATCATGGTAAATAAATTAGGCTACTGGGATGAATACTAGAAACCTATTCTGAGTCCCCTTATCAACTCTCTCACTCGTAATATATGCATATCTATAAAGGTTTAAATGACATTCTTTAAATATGTAGATGATTTGATAGGGTTACCCTTTCACCTACGCACATTAGTTAACCAATAGTGGAATTCAAGATGAATGTTTCGTTTTATTTAGGGTTCGTCAGCGTCCCCATTGAGTGGTGGTGTTTCCACTGAGACTTGAACTCTGTATCCCTATCGTTTCAGACGTCAAAGAATTATCCACGAAAGCCATATGTTTGTTCTAGAAGTGACCACGTAAATGGATACGATTCTCGCCAGGAAGCATTTTACCCTGACTGCTGTTTTTCTAACCATCCTCTCCTTCCTTAAGTTATTTTTTGCTTCATATTATAAATTAATTAATGAAAAGCACCAACTACGCATTTGTGTGGTTCCTAAAACTTCTCGAACACTCAGTGGAATTGTTCTTTTACCTCTCGAATTACTCAATGTCTCTGAAACATGGCTATTGGAAGAGGTGTTTGCGTCTGATCTTTCATGAGCAGGATTGAGGTTAGGAGATCGATGAGGTTGTAACGACTGATATAGCTAGGACACGTGCTGCGCCCAATTCCCACGTGAGGAAATACCGACTGACATAAGACCAGGTTGGAAAAGAGTAAGGGTCAAGCGTGAACGAAATTTTTGACAGGTGATTTGAATCATGTGGTGATGTGTGGACTGCCTAGTTGGGGTTGGTTTGAGAGTGTTGCTGATATGGCTGAAAGCCTTTATCAATTACGCCGGTGCATTCACCCTGTGTAATCTCCCGTATTCATTAAACCACTATGTATTTCCATTCTTTATCCGGCACATTTCTGTCCAGTGTAGTTCTTCTGAATTCCATTTTTCTACGTTTGTGTGCTACACAGAGTGTGGCAACTTGAACTGTTGTACTTCCGTGCAAAGTCCTGAGTTGAAACTCAGTCAATCATTCGAATTACTGGGATTTACCTTATTAAATTTATAAACTACTTCTGTAAGGTTTATCTCTACAAGATTTTCTCACTATTGTTTCAAGCTTCAAAACTTCCCATATAAGTATATAACTCTCGTATTAGTGAGTACTCACCTTGGATCTTTACGGTCCAGGGACTTCATCCTTTGTGGATATTCCCTGATGAAGTATCATTTATTAATAAAATAAAACAGTCTGCCACGAATATTTTACACATCACGAATAAATTATTCTGAAATGTGTGGAGGTTTTGTTGTTTTATAAAAATCATCGGATTCAACACTTGAGTAATTCATTTATCTGGTGACAAGTCCACTACGCACACGACCTCGTAGCCAGTAGGAAAATTCTTCATGAAGTGCTTGAGCTACTGCTAAGGCTTCCGTGATAAGCGGTTGTAATTTTTCAACTGGTAACCATGAGGAAAGACGTGTATGAAGAATCTCAGGATCTTCATCTTCATCTGAGTCCAGGTTACAGCGGTGTTGCGTATTAGGAAAGCAAACAACCGTTAACTGAGACAGAAGTGGATTCTCTTCGAAGCGACAAAGGTCAGCAAATACGTGTGAACCCCATAGACCTGCGCATAGTAAAAGACAAAACAATTTTATGCAGCATTACAAATCACGATCATAATTTAAAATAGCGGTAACATTGCAGCTATTAATATACTTCGTGAACTGCGTATTTACTACATTATTAGTACTTTTAATTAAAGTGAGGTAGTTTCATGTAACAAGAGTTGAATGATCAAATTACATTTGTGTTAATTCCTACAAATCATAAGTAATCTGTACGGAAATACTTCAAGTTACGAATAATTTTATCTTAACTACTGCACCTCCTCTTGATGCCACTTAAAATACCAGATAGAACATTTCAGGTGCGTGTAGCTTATCGTCAACCGCACCAGCTAACCAAACAAGACTTTTCCACCTTAATGTAGCAACGATAATAGGGGATTGAGACGGATCCCACGCGGTGTTTAATGGAATACTGGGCAAGCATCTATATAGCTACATGTCAGGGTGAGACACACCAGGCAAAAATGCACTAAGAGCATCAGAAGACGTAATCAGACTCAGACAAATAAACCGCAGCAGAATTGTCTCACGCACGTGTTCGGTCACCCTTATTTTACTCATGCTCTGATTGCTTTATGAGAAAACATGAGTTCAGTATGTCCGAAAAACATCCCCGACACCTGTCAATGAGTAATTTACAGTCTGACTGATCGATCTATGGTGTACTTTGTTGATGTCCTCTGCAATAATCTTAAGCAGCAGTGACGAATGAAGACGCGAAGGGGAGAAGTGAAGGGCGTTGTGAAGCAAAATGCTAATAACGTTTGCAAATTGTAGGCTTCTACACTTTGCCAAATAGCACTGTGTTCTGCTGTTACATGTGCCTTATTTATTTACAAAAAGACTTCCTTATATAGATATATGGAGAAATCTATATCTAGTCAGCTGTAAAAATTTAGTGGTAAACCACCCTTTTGATAACATGCAAGATAAGGATGAATGGTAGTAGAATTCTTTAATTTCCTCCGAACTGATAGACACGAGAGTAAAACGGGAGGACTCCTAAGATAGAGGTGAGCAAAAGCTCTAACGTAAGATGACTAAAAGTTTTCACAGACAACGAGAGCAGTAGAGGATAGCAAAGAAGGAAAGAGGTAGGGAGGTAACACACGTTAACTAGTTTTCTGCAGAATCTGTAATATTTTATCCCTTTACATTCCGAAAGCAACATAAAGCTTCAGTAGCGGTGAGTGGCTTTTACTGGGTAGAGCCTCACACCCAATCTTCCTCTTCCCAGTTGACTGGATAAGGTTATTGTGTGCGGCTGGGAGTAAAACCTGGACCATGTGCATGGCTGGTAAGCATTGTACCACTGAACTACCAACTCATCACTTACTCAAGCTTATTAGGGGAACAGTTTATAGACCTGTGGTGAAATATTATCCGAAAAGTAATAGAATTTAATTGCTTCGTAGAACAAACAACTGAAACGCCGGAGACAGCATTTTAGGGGAGCGATTTAATAGGCCTAGAGTCACGCCTCAGCATCATCAAATTACCCTGGAAATGCGATATAGTCCTAGGTTTTTCAACTGGAGACCAGGTTGTGAAAGATGCCTTTTATCTAAAACAAAGAGAAGGAACACAATTTGACGGTAAAACTCTACAGCTCCTTTAGGAGAGTAGTGTTGGTTTACGTACTAGGTTTACTGGATTACTAGCTAGTCCCAGTGAACTAGTATGGATGGCTGATCACCCCAGTGTGTAATAAGCGATAGGAATCTTTGTGTGATAATCGTGGGTACATCATCTTAACTAACCCAATATCCAAACTCAGCTGGATTTTCAACGCAAAACTCTGTCCGTATGGTTTGCATGCGTTTGTTTACAGGACAAACTAAGTGAACACAGCTTTGAGACTTCGGAAATTATGGTCAAACCTTTTCTTTAACTGCTATTAATATAACCAATCTAAAGTTTAAGGTAGTTTATTAACCATCCTTTTAACGGTTTGATGTATCTATTAATTTTCATTCTAATGCGACTAAAATCTCCACAGTTTGAGCAAAATTTACACAGAAATTCGTACAATGGAGAAGCATCTCCAAGTGAGTAAACTGATGCTCTTGAAGATATACATCACTTCTAACACAATTAACTTATTAAACGTCCTGGTTGATATTCATTTGTATTTCTGTTTACACTTCATTTTTTATCAAGAAACATAAACACTTCATAAGAAGATTGAAATCATGTTTAAATTACAATATGCAGTTACTTACCAACTGTGGCTGCAGTGACAAGATAATTCATTTCAATGCCTGCATCAGTTAACGCAAGGGTAGCTGCATTTACAGCACAAGCGAACTCAGATCCATCTGATTGAATAACTTCAAGGAAAATATCTATTTGTGACATAGGATACTTCTCCGTTTTTACGACACATGAAAATACTTCCTATAAACAAAGTATAAAAGGTAATTGTCATAAAACCCCCTTGAATAGTATTTATTTTAGCCTGAAAAACCTACTTCAAATAAAGACTGAATATTTTGAAAAAATTGACACTCCTAGTTCGTAGTTAAACCCACCAAGTCAAATGAAGCAAAAATATCAGGATTGTACAGTTGACAGGCAAGTGTAGTGTACGAAGGGTCGATAATTTCAGGTTAATTGTCATAATGAAGTCGCAAGCACCATAAAGTAGACATTAAATATTCACATTAGCTCAGAAAACGGATAAGTCATCTTAATCTAGGGTAAAAAAGGGTAGAATATTAAATGGTAATATACATCTTAGGAACACCAAAGTGAGTAAAAAATTACTACTCAGATGACAAACTATCGTGAAGTTTAAAAGCGATTCTGATTTGCCGTATTTCCTACGGTAAAAATAGAATGACAAATATATTAAGTCAAAAAGTGGCCTGGATAGCTCAATTTTCTTAAAGTAGGCTTCTAGTATGCTACCTCAAACTTAAATAAATTTTGTACCTAACAAATGCACCTAGAAGCCCATAACAAATTTACAGAGCTCATTTCAAAGGTATTAGAGTAAAAAATTAATGTTACTATGAAAACCGACAATTACAGGTGGGAGTGAGATCTCTTAGCAAAATCTATGAATCTAATCACACCTTCCCCAAATCTATGAATGTGTGTCACCAGAAATTACGCACCCATAAAAGTGGAGCTCCTGAACCTAAGTATCTCCAAATTTCCACATGGAGACATCTACAGTGTAGATGATCAGGGGCAATGGACACCATGTATTACTTCTTTGTAGCTTTTGACTGTCGTTTGTGATGGCCACACCAACAAGATCCCATCAACAGAATACAACTTACCGTTTGTCATCATCGAAATGTAAGTGATTAATTCAACATTCAGTAGGAAATGCAACTTCTGAAATACAACGTGGACAAGTTTTATGAACCTACCTAGTTCTATTTGAGAAACTCCTAATATAGGAGTTGTAAATTGGTTGTCCGTTGAATGTGCGCTATATTGGAGGCTAATAATGTTTATCTCTTCTCCCGACTACCGGAACATTTGGGTAGGTGAGGATAACTTATTTACAAGAAATACGCCGTAATCTACGCATCTGCTAAATCTTTATATTATATAGTTTGGTTAAGAAAACTGCCCTGAGACAAGTTTAGTCAAAATGAGAACAGACAACTGTTTCTTGTAAGTCTACAGTGCATGCATAAAGCAGCTATAGCAAGAAATACTAATGGATAGAATCTACATTCATTACTTTCACTAGCTTTTTCCGAAGTTTGTTTATGTCCCTTCAGTATGCCGGTTCTAATAAAGTTATCTTCATTACAACTAGTCCCATAACGTCTTTTGAACAAGTACTTACGAGTGTCAATTATATCTGTTCACAATTCAGAATTTACACACAATGAATATCTTTCCATTCTTTGAAAGGAGTAAGCCATTAAAAGCACCTACACTTCGCAACTCACAGTGCTGCTTGGACATATTATGTACTTGTCAGATATAGGGTGTCGAAGCAGAAAACAAAACGGGTGCCGACAGCTTTCATTCCGCTACTTTCCTCAAAGATATTTCTCCTTTTCTTGTTTTAACTTTGTCAACTCAACGATGTGGCTTGAATCTGAACAATTCTGGAGATTGAACACTGAGTTTATGGCCACAAGGTGTGAATGACAAGCTGAAACTTAGGCACTGTTGAATAGATGATAATTCAGATATTGAAAGGGCTCAAAGTGATCAAAAATACGTCACAATTTATCAGCACACTTATGAATGCTTAAAGTAAAAAATGCACACACGATAGTAACATATCACCACCCCAGTAGTAGCATGCTTTTTAAATATTGCAATATTTAAAAACAATACAAATGAGTCTTAGAGTTAGTATTAATTTGCATTTTTAGTAATACTCAGTTTAAAAGAGACATCACTGTCCTGACAATTTCAAAGTAATCTTACTTCAATAGCAGTTGCGAAATCATTTGCTGACCTATCTTTTGATGATAGTTTTCGACGTTCTCCAGAAGTTGAGGCGAAAGGAGGCTTTGTAAACTGGCACATAATGGTCGCATTATCTGCATCGCCATCGCCTTTTGATTTGGACGCGTGAGGTCCAACTACTGATGCGATCACTTTAGTGTTCCCTGTAAGTTATTTGTACGATTTCCAGTCCGGAAAAAAGCTATTACCCTGGTGAAGAAATACTATTCCGTCGGAATTGCCAGATCCAAATTGGCAGTGTATTTGCCTAATTTCTTTAGGTCTGCGACCATCAACTCTCTTACCACTGCGAAATATTTCAGTCATCTCATGCACCCCTTTAAATTCTCACACTTTTTGAAGGCCAAACGACGCCGTGAAGGTCACCCCCTAAAATGTATCACTGGTGAAACTAACATGTATGCTTTACAGTTGTGATATAACTATATTTCCTTCTCTGGTGACTTTAAACTGTAGCGGACAAAAATGAAAATACGTAGTGAAGATATCTAGCTATCAATCAGATGCGTCAGAAGTAGAAATGAATGTCTATATACAAGTAAAGAAATGCTAAACAATGGTTAAATAGGATAATATTCTTGTATATATTGCATGAAAACCTCTTTATTTGTCACGGGAGTCCTCATAGTCAGGTCGAACAAATTTCTGTACATATATTCGCCAAGATTCCTCGCGTCGGTGGCACAGTGGTTAGGACTCTTGCCAACCATGCACATGGTCCGGGGTTCGATCCCCCGCCGACGCACACCCGATATCTATGGTCGGTCTGCAAATTTTGGCTACCGATATCCATGCTGAAAATTCCATACTTGTACTGAAAATACAGTGTGGCATCAAGCTGTAATCAAAATTAAAACATAAAAAATCAATAATTAGGTAGTTCCGCCTTGGGCTGTTATCGTTTAGAGTCGCCCCTTCTCCTACGTTGTAGATATAAGTCACAAGAATGTAATGAAGCGACTATCCAGGCTTTTTATTCAGGAGAGTTTAGACTAATAAGTCATGTCTGACACTCCGACCAGCTTAAATAGGTTGCAGACATGGCAGGACAAAAGTAGGCTGACTAAAGCGAACATCCCATCGAAAGACATTGCATGACTAATTAGACTGATTTCATAGGAAAAAGGTATAACCTGAATGCTGAGTTGTACAGGAAACCAATTAAACAATACAGAATAATTATACAGCATAACTCTCTCTTGTATGTCCTAGAAGTGTTTTGCATATTGTAACTGGAGTTCTTAGAGTTAGTCTAAACCAATTTCTGCATGTGAACTAATCTTGATGACTGTGATTTAATGACTAATTCATTGCTGAAATACTGTTCCTTAAAGGCCCCTCGGCTTTGTACATCCCCTGGGGGCTCCTGTGAATTTAAGGTCTCTCCGCATAGACAAGTTTTGTTCCTTCAAATAATCCGATTATCCCTACAGTAATGAATTACGAATCAGTTACGAAGCGATTCGTGCACTTCGAGCAACTTTGAACACTTCTACTATAAGTGCAGTTTGACCCATCTCCCAGGGTTGGTCGTTCCCAGCCTAGATTCAGATAACAAGAGGTCGTAGTCTGCCACAGCCTATGTTGATCCCTGCAGTAGACATATATGTATATCTGTAGAGGTCCAATTTATCCTTGAAAGGATTCACAGGTGGAACTGATACCACCTGATTGGTCGAGACGTTCCAGTCGATGAGCACTGTACGTGAGAATCTTAATTTATTCATTCACTTTCACTGATCTCCGTTTGAACACCTTTCTATGATAAGATCTAAGAGTTATCCAGTACGCAGAGAAAACATTAGAGGGATCAAAACCTAAATAATTGATAGGCTTGTAATGCCCTTCCATGGCTTCAAATAAACATACATTTAAACTAAAGTGGACAAAATATTAACAAAATAAAATTCCAGCTAGCTTTTGGGCGCTTTAGTTGTTTCAATTGTTATTTTAACGGATTCGATGTGACCAATGTTCGGACGCCATGGTTGCAGGAAAAATGCATATATTAAGTGTCCACAGCTCAGGCAGACTAATTAGATAAATTCCCAGGACATTTTGCCTGGGTATTATCATAATTTATGCAATTTAATTATATTGCTGATTAGAACATGCTACAAAAAAATAACTGAGTGATTCCGAATACCATTGCTTGCAGCGTATATCAGACACTAATTAAATGGATATTGGGCACACTGTGTTTAGTAAGTCTGACCGAGTGCAACACATCAGCAAAGTAACTAGCCCTCTACAAATCAAAATTTACTCACTCGTCATCCTCGAATATGGTGATGAGAAATATACGAAATTTTCCAGTCTCTTTACATAAGGAATGCGTTAGATACAAAGACTTCCACTTAATGTCGCAGCAAATGCTAGTCGCCTGTATAAAATGGCGAGAGTTAGGATTGATACACGTTGAGTAACTTATACAAGAAGTCATCGAGAAGCTTTAAGGCCCTTCGTAGTGTCCACGTTATTCTTGACTGCATCTGCACTACACTATATAGCTGTTTCTGAGATGCAGCTTGCAGTAATTTCTACACCTTTCGCTTTTAAAATCAAACAATTCCGTTTTCTTCATGAAGTAATTTGCGCCAGACCTCTGGCCAGAACTTATTTCTACACATCCGCTATAATTATACTCAAAACTCCAGGGATTAAAGCATTCAGTTTATATATATATAACTCAGGCTGTTGGGCTGACGCCATTACTTGTAATTGTCGAGAATTTAATGTCGTCGGTAAATATTTGCGAAGGTGAGATGAAAATTTTCGGGTATTCGATGATCTGTAGTTGAAGTAAAAGAGCCACTCGACACATATTTATACCCTGGGGGCAAACCATTTGGTCTTACTCCTTGCCATATTTCCAAACAGCTAATTGTGCGGGCGAAGTTAAACTTTAGACACCAGTAACAACCAATCAGCAAACGACCTTAACGGACCAATCATATGAAAGAGGAGTTTATGATAAGTGGTAACGTATATTTATAGAAAAACGCATAAAAATTAGGATAAAGCAGTTACAACGGGTATCTTTCGCGAACATGGGACAGAAACATTTCCCAATTCAGCATCGGACTGTCAATAGAAAAGTCGCACCACATTCCGTACATACATTCATCTAAATGACTGTAAACGAGATCCTTTTGGGATCCATTTATAGCCCTTATCCGATTTTTCAACCGGCCCCAAAATCCCTCAATAGAATTTGTATGAGTTCCAGTAACTGGATCCACAAAATCGTTTGAATGGTTCACTCAGTGATGACTATATCCCAAGGATGAAAGCGAATTATAAACTTTCCAGTCGTCCGTGTGTATAATTGAACTCCGTTTGACAAGTCTCGTTATAATAGGTATTAACGTAGTCGCCTTTCTATCTCCTATTCTTTCAACGAATCCCTTTCGGAGGGGAGTATCGTATAAACCTATAACCCAGATATTATTCGCTCGCTGGCAACCACGATTGTATTTCGTCTTCAGCAACACAGTCTCATCCACGTGCACTACAATGCCGTCCACGCCCAACAACGCAGTAATCTTCTCCATTTTCCAAGATGCAATATCTCTACTATGCTGGTACCATTGGACAGTTGAGAAGAGGCTGTTCTCCGTCTCGGCAGCTGCAGCTCTCACTGGCTGTTTCAATACCCAGTAATTGCAGATACATAAATTTTGCGTCAACGAGAGGTGTGACCTTGCAAAAAAGTTCCTACGAAATATTGAAATTATCAACTTACCCTCTCTAATGCTAACACGCTTGGAGCATATAGCACAACGATGGACAAATCCATCAATTGACCTACTTTGGTTTTTAAGGTCACGATACCCCCACACGAACAAGTTCGCTCCTTCCGGTGCAACCCTAAATCCAGACAATAATGGAATACAGTGTCCTGCTCGAATTGCAAACGTAACCTTTGTAACAGATATTCCACATGGTCACAGACAGAGAAAGAAGAAAACGCAGAGTGCGATGAAAGGTCTATATCATCAGCATGCAAGGTTTAAATTAAGCGGTTACAAGTTAATTATCATCTGTTAGAACAAGTGCAGCTAAACGTTCCTCTTCTTGTTCCAATGAGTTTATGCTAGCATTGGTTTCTGCAAAAGAAGAAAAGAGAAACTTATTTAGTGATATTATAGTGGTTTTTGTCCTATTACATTGCCTCCCCCCTTCTGTGGGCACTGTCCTCAGTGCCTGATGGTGGTATAGGGTATGCCGTGCCTCCGGCAGGCGGCACCTTAACGAAGCTAGTGGCAGGCGGCGGTTGAGAGGGGTTCGGTGGCTCCTTGGCAGCGGCGGGATAATGCGGTTTCAGTTGGTTGTAGTGGGCGGAGGTGAGAGCGTCTTGAGGGCGTCGTAGATTCCGCAGGATGTACGTAGTCGGGGGTCGGTGTTGGACGATCTCGTATGGCCCTTGCCATGGCGCGTAGAATTTTGCGCACGAACCAGCGGGGACTGACGGTCGATAAAGCCAGACGTAATCACCGAGAGAATACGTGGGTCCGCGAGCGAACCGGTCGTAGATGCTCTTCTGGTGCTCTGAAGAGGAGTGGAGATGACGGCGTGCCAGACCGTGTGCTACCTACAGGTGATGACGAAGATGTCGTACATAGGGTATGCAGTCGATTCTCTCATACGGTAGCATTGGCGCCTGGATCTCGACTGGTAGACCGAGTTCACGCCCGAACAACATCACAGCTGGAGAAAAACCCGTTGAGGAATGCACGGAGGAGCGATAAGCCAACAAGCACTGGGATATGACGTCGTCCAAGGTGTTTTCCGGAGCGTTATGCAGAAAGGCACGGGGAAAATTCTTGATGGTCCTGTTGGTGCGTTCCACCGGCTTATTACCTTGTGGATGGTAGGATGTCGTGTGCGTTTTCCGAATGGCAAACGTATTGCAGATGTGCGCGATGAGGTTACTCTCGAAAGCAGTGCCTTGGTCGGAGTGTAGATAAAGGGGGGCACCAAAACGAGACAATGAAGGTGCGGCCGATCGTCAGGGCATCCTGGTGTTGCAGGGGAACAGCCTCGCACCACTTAGTGAAATAGTCTACCATTACGAGTATGTAACAGTTACCGCGTCTCAACTCTGTGACCGGCCCCATAATATCTATCCCCACTCGGTGATTGGGAGCCTCGGTTAACACCGGAACCAATGGTGCTCGCGAGACTGGATTAGGCTGCTTAATTTGGGCACACGTATTGCGATTTCTGCAGAATTCAGTGACGTCGTAACGAAGGAGTGGCCACCAAAAGCGTTGACGGACAGCGTGTTCGGTTTTTCGTTGGCCAGCGTGGCCAAGTTGCTTGTATACGAGATGTATTACCTCCGGGACCTTCAGACGTGGCACGATAAGGCGAGGTGACAATGGCGGTTCGACTACAGACAAGACGTTATCAATCAGGCGTAGCATACCCCACTTACCACAGATGCATCCGGTTGCGTCAGACAGACTCCGTAGTTCTTTACTCGACGGTTTATCGTTCTCGTGAAGTTGACGTGAGTACACAGGTTGGATGTCCGCGTCAGCCGCCTGCAGTGCTGCCCAATCAACATCTAGGCCTGTATTCAGTATAGCATTTACCGGGGAAACTTAAGGCG